CCAGTGGAGTCGAGGGTCACAGCTGACAGAGCGGAAGACTCGGCAGAGAGATGAGGATCACGTTGAAGGGCAGACATTGAAAGAGACAAATGCAGAGAGCCCAAGTAAACAGAGGAGTCACCGGATAAAAGTTTAAAAACCAAGCTCTGTAACGAAGATCCATTAAGAGATTAGGTAAGATATTGTATCCATAAACAGTAGTAAGATGCCTTTAAGAGGGAACAATTCTAGCACAAGAAAGAGTTCTGGGTAATTAAAAACAAGGAGCAGAACCAGAAACCTCATAGATAGCTTGGAAGATAAAGTTGGGGAAATCTTCCCAAAAGTTAAATACACAAGAAGGTAAAGAGACGGGAGATAAGTAAGGGTGGGTGGTTGGGGAATCAAACCAAGATCCATGTAGAAGTGCAGCCAGCTGGCTGCCTGCAGGGAGGATGGCGAGAGCCTGCATCTCATGTCCCTGGACGTGTTGACAGGAGGGACCAGTCCCTGGAGAAGGATGCGGTGCGTCTAAGAAGCAGATGGGCAGCCACCCACACGGCCGCTCAAACGCCGTGCACACAGAGCGAGTGATGATCAGAAAGGCCGGGACTCGACACGCGCATTTCCCAGGGACCCTTTCTGAGGAAGTCACTGGAGGGTACGCCCCAGCAGCACGAGGGGCTAAAGCCGTAAAGAGGCCGAAGAGAAGTCTGGGAAGCAAGATGTCTTCTTGAGAAAGCAGCAAAGCGAGGCTGGAGTTAGCACCCCGCAGCAGACCCACGGAGGGTCCCCTGAGGTAGGTGCCAGCGGAGAAAGACTGAACGGATAGTGGATACCTTCGGTAGTTCAGGACATCGTACTGGACGGCAGGTGTGAAAAGCACAGGGAAAGGAGTAAGAATCGCTTTGTTTTCTAGGACAGCTACAGCAGCTCATCTTAGTTGGTCAAGGTCGAGAAGACAGAGGACGCTCAGTGGGTGGAGGAGCTGAGCGGACACAGACACGCTGACCATCACAGGGAAGCACAGGACCACGCAGCCTTTGGTTCTGGCACACGAGCCGGCGCCGCGTGATGGCCCACAGACCACAACGAAACGTGTGGAAGAAACTGAGCTAATGGAGGAGGGAAAACAAAAAGCAATATCAACTCTGGGAAAAATAAAAAAATATACATACAAGAAAGGAAACGAGGATTGCATTAGCACTCTCTCGACACAAACGATACCTGCCTAGATGCACAAAAGGACCCTGATCTGACTATGCTCAGAAGGAGCCCTGGTGGTGAAGCGGTTAAGCATGAGGCTGCTCTGAGGGAGAAGAGGCAGGGCTGTCTGTGCCCCCCCCAAAAACATTTACAGCCTTGGCAACCTCTTGGGGGCATGTCCGTCCGTCCACCCTGCCATCAGGGTCGCTGTGAGTTTGGAATGACCCAATAGCCCGGGGCTAGGTTTGGTTTTGGGGAGTGGTTTTAAGAGTGGAGGAAAAGGATGAGGGAAATGGGGTAGATGTAAGAGAGCTAGGACCTCACCAACCTAACAGCAATCGCTCAGGTGGACAAGGTCTTAAAATCTGCACAGCAGTAAACAGCAGGGCAAACACGCTCTTTGGCAGCAAAGAGAAAGTAACAGGCGAGCAAAGCCAGCAGGGCGAGCAGGGGAGTGGCTGCCTTCTGGCAGCACCGGGGTTGGGGCCGCGGTTTTCATTGCAAGGTCATTATGTGTTTTAGCTATGCCTGGTACATGCATTATTTAGGTAAAAATAATGAATAATGACACACAGCGACGG